TAGTGTGTGTGTGTGTGTGTGTGTGTGTGTGTGTGTGTGTGTATATATATATATATACATATGTGTGTGTACATATGTGTGTGTGTGTATGTGTGTGTGTGTATGTATGTAAATATATATATATAGATATATATAATATATGTTATATATATGTGTGTGTGTGTGTGTGTGTGTGTGCCGTTATTCGTTGTGTGTGCCGTTATTCATTGCATGCATTGTCGGGAGTATATATGCATTTGGTATGCCTGGCTATTTACATACCTCCTGAATGAGATACCCGACAAAAAACCTGAAACGCAAGGTATAGCACATACATGCGAGAAGACAACGCCGATCTTGGGCTTCACAATGAACAGTGCCCCCGGGACGAACAATATCTTATTGGTAGACGGAAGCACGGATACGTATTTAAAAAATCAAATACCTAACACATGATTCCATATACATATATAGATATTCAACAAAACCTATATTCATCATTTCTCTATACAGTATTGTACTAACTTTGCATGATCCTTGCACACACATACATGTAAAAAGGCGATGCCGGTCTTGGGCTTCTTATTGAACAGAGCTGCCGAGTCGAACAGTAATTTCTTGGAGACTCTCAGTCGACGCAAAGTCGCTGCGTTTGGGATGTCATCTACTGGTCCCTCATGCGCACCCAAGGAGTTCCACGATCTAAGCCAAATAGACAATGGATTAGTATCAAGTGTGGGGGGGGGGTGTTCTATAGGCCGAATCAAAAGCCAAACAAAACACAGGTGTGAGACAGAGTGTTGTGACGATACTGCATACTTGATCGCAGCCAATTTTTTATAACATTGGAATAGCACCAGGAGTTGGGCAGGTGTTCTATATGCCGAATCAAAAGCCAAACAATCACAAGTATGGTGCAGGGTGTTGTGACAATATAATATACTTCATCGCAGCCTATTGTTTATAACATTGGGTTAGCACCAGCTGTTGGGGAGATGTGCTATAGGCCGAATCAAAAGCCAAACAAAACATAGGTGTGAGACAGGGTGTTGTGACGATACTGCATACTTGATCGCAGCCAATTGTTTATAACATTGGAATAGCACCAGGTGTTGGGCATGTGTTCTATCAAAAGCCAAACAAACACAAGTATGGTGCAGGGTGTTGTGACAATATAATATACTTCATCGCAGCCTATTGTTTATAACATTGGGTTAGCACCAGCTGTTGGGGAGATGTGCTATAGGCCGAATCAAAAGCCAAACAAAACATAGGTGTGAGACAGGGTGTTGTGACAATTTTGTATACTTCACCGCAGCCTATTGTTTATAACATTGTAATAGCACCAGGTGTTGGGAAAATGTACTATACGCCAAATCAAAAGCCAAAAAAAACACCAACTATGGGACAAGGTGTTGCGAAAGCAATACTTTCTAACCCAGTTTAGCCATTACACAAACGCAAAATTTGGAAATGTCTCATCGACTGGTATATCAGGAACAGTTTGCCCGTCCCGTTTTCCCTCTGCTTGGTCAAAGCGGGATCCACCCCGCCCGGAAGGTCACACTGCATCCGAACATATAAATGTATAGCATATTAAACTGTAACATATACACATTCAGCATCCCTTCCAACTGTCACACATACACATACTTGGAATGTCTCATCGACTGGGCCATCAGGAACAGATTGCCCGTCCCGCTTTCGCCCTGCGTTAAAGCGGGATTCACCCCACCCGCCAGATCGCACAGGGACGACAAGGAACTGTTCCTGTGCATGACATGTGCACTGCCGTGAGGGCGTGTGCTGCTGTTGTTGTGCACTGAGGTGCCTCCCTTCAGCGAACGTGCTCTGCGTGCTTCTAGTGGTGCCACGGTTTCCATCAGCACGTCCAGGGCGAGTGAATGGGTGGACAGCAACTGCCCGGAGGATGGGAACGTGTGCTGTGGGTACGTGCGTGTGGGGGTGGTACATAAAGGTGAGACTAGGTGTATGTAGATACCAGTCATGGGTGTGAATGTATGTAGATACCAGTCATGAATGTGAGTGTATATAGATACCAGTCATGAGTATGAGTATTTTTAGATACCAGTCATGAGTGTGCGTATATGTAGATACCAGTCATTAGTGTGAGTATATGTAGATACCAGCCATGAGTGTGAGTATATGTACATACCAGTCATGAGTGGAGTATAAGTATATGTAGATACCAGTCATGAGTGTGAGTATATGTAGGATATAATGTAGTACAAGATGAGTTGGGTCGGTTGATCATGGCATAGGACTTAAGCGATGTCATAGTCTCTTCCCACACGTCTAAAACCGGAAGTACTCGTTTGTGTAGACACTAACACTATGTGCGATCATATGCAGATCCCAACTATAGGTGCAGGTATATGCGGATACCAACTGAGTACAGCCCCAGGTAGTTGTCAGGTACATCATTCAGTTGGACCTCTAGCGGTGCCACTGGTGACTGGCACACCAGAGTCCAATTGTACCGAACTATTTAAGTTTAGAAACAGGCCAGCCTGTATACAAATTCATACTACACAGCATACATTGCAACACTGTTATGTACAGAGGGCATTAAGGCGAACAAGCACGCGGATACCATCCCCATACAGACTTGAACTCACTCCGAAACACGGCTACCACCCCCCATCTCAGACAAACCCTTGACGCGCTTCTCCAGTAGATTGGAACAGAACAAAGATGAGTCATAGTTGGGATATAGTTACACTAGTTACATAAATAGAACAGCCAATAGGATGAATCGATACGTATCCTCACACACACATGTGCTGTCTCGGAATACGAATTCACACCAACCAACCTCAGACAGAAACTTGACCAGTTTCTCCAGCAGATTGGAACAGAACAAGGATGAGTCATAGTTGAGATATAACTCCGCGACAAACTGTGGATCTCTGCACAACTGTAGCAGCACCTCTAAGGCAGCCTCAGTGTGTTCCGGCGAATACCTTGGGTCGTCCACCTGGGGAAAGAATTGTGAATTGGTGGTTAGGATATGTTAATTGCTTACCTGGGAGAAGACTACGTTTACTAGATATAGCATACCTCATACACATAATGTAAATAGGATGATAAAGTAATACCAAGTTGGCATCTATAGTAATGCCCTAAATTCCTATATGTATATACATATGTATATATATAACTGTGTAGACACAGACACGTGCATTCGTTGTGAAGTGAAAAGCACACACAAAAACCAACACGTAGACCAATGGGTTATCAACATAGGACCCAACAATTCTAATCATGGTGACACGTATGAGATGCAGCA